AAGTAGCTACCTGTTACATTTGTTTCACAGCTTCATTTATTGCCATTAGACCCTGTAGTCTTTAAAATAAAGAATGGCACTTCATCGTAAGTCCGCTAAATGAATGACTCTACAATTAGTACTTAGTTGAAAGCATACGAGAGACCAAATTCGCAATGTCTTTGAGGACTTTTCACCTATTCCTTCGTCTTAGCCACAGTGCTGCTTCAAGCTGAAAGTTCACTTTGACCGCACAGGAACTTTATCGCTCAGTCAAACACCGCCACGCTATTCATTAAAGGCGCGATAACATCTGACAAAACTGAAATGTATAAGCTAAAGTGAGAAGATATGGTTCGATGAAGTGTACCCTTTGGTCATCGTGGCTCGAAGCGGACATCGCTCAAGTTACAGCGATGCTTGAAAGGATGTGGCTTTCATGAGTCTAGAGAATCGAAGAATGAGGTTCCGCTAGGGTCACCACTATTTGAGTGGCGCCAAGCACTGTAACGGGACAGTAGGTAGGCAGATACTACTGTTCAGTAGACGACTGGTACAAGAGCTCTGCTCCAACAAAGTCACTCTTCTTCTTTTGTTTGCTTTTCTTCTGGTTTTCTTGCACTGCATGGAAATCTGCACGTAGTGCAGGCAGTCCATAACAGCCTATAACAAAGTAGTCAAAACTCGCTCTTCAACACATTCCACGCCATGTCAGTTCGTGCAAGTACTTACCGTGTTGTTGGAGGTCTTCTGGAAACCGCTGTCATCAGCCTTTGCAACACGTAATTGCCTCACCAGGCGACTAACGTTGCCTTGACAGTAACCCCAATGTCTTAAATGCGACGTCTGGAGGACATATTTCGCCTTAGTTCCGAGACCCACAGTACCCTCATTTACTCGGTGTGAGTGATTTTAGTGCTGCTGTACGACTTCGAGGAAGGTTTGCTGTACATCCACTTTGATTTCATTCAGCTGCAGTGCTTCAGCGCGCTGCCAAAGAAAACATTCTGGCATCACGTGACAAGTTAATCCATGACATGTAGACATCAACTGAATTTCCCATTACCTCCTTCATTATAGATGATAGTATCCTGACGCGCAATGCGGGAAGAGGGCTTCATCGCTTGATGACTGCCGCCTGTAAAACATTCGCCATACTTATCGTTCGTCAGTATCCACAAACGGTGTTGGGAATCCCTCCGGCCCAACAGATCAGCGGCAAAAGGATTAAATGGCAGAGTAGGTTGAACAGTTTACAAAACTCTGTTCCATCATCTACGGGGACGGTTGAATATGAGGGTCGACCGTGATGGCCGTCCTTTCAGTGGCCTACCACATATCTTGCTTACCACATATCTCAGATCATTTTTTATCAAAATTCCGCTATAACTTGCCTCATTTAGGTCAGTGCTATTATGCAGCGCAGAGATAATCGTTTCATCCAATCATTAAGAACAACGCTCGAACAGTGCAAATGTCAACATATGATAGGGGCAAATGGCGAAACAGTAAGAAGAGTGACACTTTTATCCACCGCGTACAACTGCTCTCAGAAGGTGTAGAAATAGAGGGAAAAAAGTTTGTTAGTGTTGGACCAGTTTGTTGAGGTGAAAACGTTTGCGCATTCGCGGGAGTTGCTCATGTAGGGATTGAAATACGGCGGACATGGAGCAGGAGGCCAGCATTTTGAGCAAAATATGGAGAGATTCATGTTCGGAGTTCAGCTGTTTGTCGGAGCCTCATGACGCAGACGTTAAAAAACTAAGATAACGTGTGACAGTACAAGCCAGAAATGCTCTGGGTGATGAGCACAATAAGCAGCCCCAAAGTGTTGAACCTCTGATAACTCTCCACTGAAAGAAGTTCCAGCACTGAAAGCGTTGAAATTGGTTTAAGCGTAAATACTGACTCAGACCAACTTCGAAATTACCGCACTGCAACCAGCGCATCAAACGGATGCAACGACTGTCAGGGCACTGGTTCTACTTTCTCTAAAATTCCATTAATTACGCGATGTCACATAACTCACAGTTAGCACCTTAACTCACCACTTGCGTAAGAACCCATACGGCCTGTCTAATGTCACTTTGATGTTCAGAAGAACAAATTTGAGTATTAGATGACACTAAGTGAACTATAGAAAGCATCATATGCATATTTGCATATAATAAAGCTGTAATTCACATTTGCGGTATATATTAAAAGACGCGATTCTTTAGCGTCTAAATGTTTAAACAGTCTCGGCGCTCATGTCCCAAAAATTTGACAACTAACAAATCGAAGTATTACAGCCAAGTTAAGGTAGGGAAGCGTACACATTCTGATGTATTGTAAGAGCCATGCAGGCCTCTAATGTACTCCAGAACAGTCGGCAAGTGAGGAAATGAGTAATCAACCGATGAACAACTTTCATATGCTTTCACTGCTTGCCTCAATTAAGGCAGCAATAAGAACAAAATCAACAGAAATTAAATATTTGTCTCATTATCATGCTGAACCTGTCAGACGGGTCAAGGCGAACTGCAGCCCTATGAGGTATTCGTATAAGAGAGCGTCGCTGCACTTATCCGTATGACCAGTCCAAAAGACCACGTTGTTCCTCTTGTACACGAGTCGACCTGCTACAATTTTTTGGCTGTTTGCATCTGGCAATGTGGGATGAATTCTATGCAAAAACTATAAGCGGTAACAAAAAATTTGTTTTTGTAGGATTCGAATCGACCATATCCAGATTTCGACGCCGTCGCACCCTGAAAAGAAAGAAAAATGAATATAATATAGTAATAAATGAGGTAAAGAACGATAGGAAATACATCGTGAAGGAAAAATCTCCGGAAAATGCAGGATTTATGGTAGTACAACGGAACTGATTCAACACACTGTCGCAGGTTGTATCGTTTGCCCAACAGGTATTTTCGCAAACGCCCAGTAGTTCAAACAGTACTACAGCATCGCAGTGATCATGCATCACCAATAGGCACTTGAAAGAGGCATAATCCCAGAAAATACGCCATACTATTGATATCATTCAGTGAGGGTGCCTGAGGATAGTCAATATACCACCTGTTATCACAGACCGTTGCGTTGATCACAATCTGCTCGATACATTAATTTTGGATCGCAGAAACAGGACAGCTGAAATTGTTGATGTTGCCACTCCACTGTATGAAAATGAAATGAAATCTTTGGTGGAGAAAATATGAAAATACAAGGACGTGATCATCGATCTGAAGCATCACGGCTAGTTGGCCATGCTTTGTCTGTGACCGCTGGTAAAATATCTTCCAGTTGGGAGAGTTTGAAATAAAAATATTCTAACTACATACTCAAACTGTAGAATATAGGGTACCGCCATCCTGTTATTAGCTTGGTGCACGGACTAGCCTTTAACGCTTTGACGTTTTCGAAAGAAGTTGATTGATTCACTGGGAAAAGAGTGAACAGCGTTCGATCATTCTTTAGACATGGATGAAAATTAACTTAATTCTAGCCTGTAGGATTGTCGAAGATCCGGATATTTAGTGGGAAATTACGCATCGGACGTTAATTTTATAGGGTGAAAGTTTCGTATGGTTTTCTCAGCTGTCTGTCAGAACGCTTTCAGGAAAATTGATTATTATCCCTTTCAGTTTTTGATACTGGATCAATCACTAGTTCTATGCTAGTAAGCCCAAGAGATCGGGTTCTATTTTTCTGTATAAAATTGATCATTATTACTATATTAGTATCTGCGGTTCCTTTGCGGTTTTAGGAAAAAGGCGGCATAAGTATTTCACACATTAAGCTGTGCATGGCCTTCCAATCACAGCTATTTATGTTCAGACTTTCGTCAGTTCCTAACTTGCAGTTTGAAGCTTAATATCCGACTTCCGCTTGAGCCTAGACCTCGGCCAGATGTCAATCACTTTCTGAGTT